CTGCAGGGTCCCGCGTTCGATTCCGGTCAAGGGCATGTACCTTGCTTGCGGGCACATCCCCAGTATGGGGTGTGCAGGATGCAGCTGATTGATGTTTCTCTCTCATCGATGTTTCTGACTCTCTATCCCTCTCCCTTCTCTGTAAAAAATCAATTAAAAAAATTTTTAAAAAATGTATGTTCTCTAAATGAATAAACATCTCTGATGTGAAGACATTCCTGTCATAACATGAATCTATTTAAAGGTGCAGCTCTACGTCAAGAGCTATCTGAAGAATTCACATTTTTATCTAAAACAGAAACAAAAATACTGTCCTTCCCATTGTTTGGAGGCACCTGATCCAGTTTGGACAAGTTTGCTGAAGTGTTTGTGTTTTCATTTTAGGTCACAGTCATTACAGTAGCCAAGAACAGTAAAATTTGCATTTTGAAGCTCTCTGACTTTACTGTTTGACAATTTCTTCCTGCACTTCTCACCCTAGATTTTATTTGTGCTTATTTTTCTTCTTCCCTATTACACAGAAAAGGCCTTTATTAGTAAGAAATTTTTCTGTTACTTGAATACATCTCTAATGATCTTTCTTTTGAAGTTATGCTCTTCTCTGTTGGTATATAAAAATATGCTCTACTCTAATCTGTTGTAATTAGATGAAGTTGAAGCAGCAATTCCGTCATTGCTTTGATTATTGTCTATAACCTTCCAAAGAGTTCAAGTAAGTGTACCTTAAGTTGGAGCTGATTATAGGACTAATTCAGAATCTAATTCTGTGTTTCTTCCTATTTTGCTTTTGATCTTGGGGAAACCATAGGAATTTTTAAGTAGCAGGCATTTGATTAATAAGATTAAAATACAAAATATATTAGGTCATTATTTTGTAATCTTTTTTGATAAAACTAATTTATGCAAATGAGCATAAAATATTAACCAAATTTTTTTCTTCAAGTTAGATTAGATTGTCAATTATTTTGAGTAATATGGATGTCTTATGTTTTTGTCATTACTTAGCCCAGCAGAAGAACTGTATTTTGGAAGTACAGAATCTGGAGAGAAGAAAACTTTAATAGTGTTGACAAATGTAACTAAAAACATAGTGGCATTTAAGGTAAATTTCTGAAATATAGGATAAAGTATGTGTGAAAATTTGACATGGAAAGTGATTTTAGACAATATTAATTGAAAGATTGGTACTTTTGAACTTACACAATGGTTGTATTTATGATCTTTTTAGGTATGTTATACTGCCTTAGCTTATCTAAAATTTTTCCTGGGATCTGTATTTCAATCTTTTATTTACAATAATAGGCTAATGCCCAAATCAATTCCAGGGTTTAACATTTGTTGTAAATAAAAAACCCCAAGGAAATCACTCTTCATTATATGAATAGTTCTTAATAATAGTTCTTAAAATTATAAAATCAAATGTGCATTTTCTCCCAAGTATAGTATATGCAGGAATATTAGTTTATACTGGATACTAATCTGATATTGAGCATTTAGTGTCACAAGACTGAGTTCACCACATCCCATATTGTAGGTATTACTTCCTTAAGTCCTCTATTTAATTTAAATTTAACCATTAGGATGTCTGGATGTCCTTTGATTTTCAGCTGTTTTTTTTTAATTTTTGAACACTATTGTAACATGTGGATTCAGGTTTTTGAATTTGTGTTAATTCAGGTGATTAGCACATGATAAATATTTAACAGATAGAGTAATTACTTTATTTAAGAGGAAGGCTAAAATAGCTTGAGATGCTTTTTTCCTAATGGTGAGCAAAGATATCAAATGGTGAGCATAATCATCAAAGCTTATTTTGTAAATTTTGGTTATTGATTAACTGCTAATTTTGTTAAAAGTCCCTTTTAAGCCATTTCCCCAAAAAGCATAGAGGTTATTATGTGACAACTGTATTTATAAACAGGTGAGAACAACTGCCCCGGAAAAATACAGAGTCAAGCCTAGCAACAGCAGCTGTGACCCTGGAGCAACAATTGATATAGTTGTGTCTCCACACGGGGGTAAGTTGTCATATGATAGCCATTGCACTGTAGGCACCTGTTTTCCCACATGTAAAATGAAATGGGCAAATGGGTCTCCCAAGTCCTTCCCAGCGTTAAATAATTTTGAGTTGTTTTTTAATTAGTAAAATTGTTTCAGCTGATATCAGTTGAAATGAATTTCAAAAATGAACTCATTTTTAGAACTTTTTCCCTTTTTTACAGTAGTTCCATATCCCTATTTTCTTTACTTTTTTCTAGAATAACACCTTAAGCCACACACCTAAACTTTGGTAAAGATTCCTGTTCAAATATTTTGCCCTTTTGAACACAGGCTTTGCAGTCTCTGCCCAAGACCGGTTTCTGATAATGGCTGCAGAAATGGAACAGACATCTGGCACAGGCCCAGCAGAATTGGCTCAGTTCTGGAAAGAAGTTCCCAGGAACAAAGTGATGGAGCACAGGTATACTTTTTACGCACAGGCTTTCAAATGGGGTGAGAAAGATCAGAAAAAGACATGTGCCTACGTGGGCTAGGCAGGCATGCCTTCTAGTGTTTGGCAGACATTGAGGCATCTAGTGTGGGCCCTGAGTTCTGTGAGGCTGTGGGGGTGCCCAGGTGAATGAGACCCGAGTGTGGGCCCGTGCATCTCAAGATGGTTGCTAATAGCAGACACTTGCCTTCCGGCCAGTCACAAGAATGTGGATGTGTCAACACACAGATATTGTCTGATAACTTCAGTGTAATCATGGGTGGGAAGAGTGTGATTTAGCAGTCAGTCAAGGTCCCTGTGATTAGGGACTGAATGGCCACTGATCTT